GTCCATACAAAGGCTTGCACATAGGAGGGAAGCAGGGCTAAGAAACAAAACAAAACAAGAAACCAAAAAGAAAGCAAAAAAAAAAAAAAAAAAAAAAACCCAAAAAACCTGCACACAAATGTTTACAGCAACTTTGTTCATAATTGCCAAATCTTGGAAGCAACCAAGATGTCCTTCAATAGGTGAACGGAAAACTAAACTGTGGTTCATCCAGACAGTGGGATATTTTTCAGCACTAAAAAGAAATGCACTACCAACCTGGAAAAGATATGGACGAACTCTGAAAACATAACTACTAAGTGAAAGGATCCAGTCTGAAAAGGCTACATGCTATAGGATTCCAACTATATGATATTTTGGAAAAGACAAAAACTATAGAGACAGTGAAAAGATGAGGGGTTCCCAGGGGTTAGGAAGAGATAAACGAATAGGCAGAGCACAGAGGATTTTTAGGGCAGAGAAAGTATTTTTTATGATGCTATAATGGTGGATACATGTCATTATATACATCTGTGAAAACCCATTAAAATATACAACACATAAAGCTAACCGTAATGTAAACGATGGATTTTAGTTAATAATAATGTATCAATGCTGGCTCATGGATTATAACAAATGCACCACACGAAGGCAACATGTTAATGATAGGTAAAGCTGGGAGGCCTCAGGATGAAGGGTTAATATGGGAACTTTCTGCTCATTTGTCTGTAAACATAAAACTGTGTTAAAAAAGAAAAGCCTGTCAAAAAATTTTTTCAAGATTTGATTTACTTATTTATTTATTTGACAGAGAGAGACACAGCCAGAGAGGGAACACAAGCAGGGGGAGTGGGAGAGGGAGAAGCAGGCCTCCCGCAGAGCAGGGAGCCCGATGCGGGGCTCGATCCCAGGACCCTGGGACTATGGCCTGAGCCGAAGGCAGACGCTTAACGACTGAGCCACCCAGGCACTCCAGAAGCCTATCAATCTTAAAAAAGAGAAAGGGAAAGGGAGCCCAGTGCCAGTCAGGACGAGTTCCAAATGGCATACAAATCAGCCCGGACTCTCCTCCTGTAAACACAACCGTTTTTAAACAAGGCAGTGACAGAATTGTGCTCTGAAAATTCTGGTGACCCCGAAGGCTGAAGGATCTACGAAAAAGAGAGCCAGCGACCAATAAGCCGATGATAGCAGAAGGGAGATGGGGGTGGTTCTGAATGAGCAGGGGCCCTGGGAGGAGACAGGAACTTGGGAGCGTAAGCAACAGGACTGGTGGCAGCTGTCTTCATGCATCCAGGGATGCGTGGGAAAATGAGGGTCCAAGTTTCCCTCTGGTTTCTAAATTAAACTATGTGGCAGACAATGGTGCTGACAGAGGCAGATGAACAAACGAGATGGGGAAAATGAACCTGGTGTTTGACCTGTGATGCTATTTTATTACCTGCAGAATACGGATGTGGAAATGTAGAGAGTCAGCTCCAAACACAGGGACGGGCAACTCAGAATGGAGGTCAGGTTGCCTTGGAAACGAATTCCAGTAGGTATCAAACTGCACTTGTTTATGCCAGGGGACATCACTGAACCTCCCCAGTGTAGGTGAGTGATAATGTAACATGCGTTAGCAAGTGAAAGAAACCTAGTCTATTTTCTACCCTGACTATCCGTGAAAGTAAAATGCTGAGTTATTTAGCCTATCCCTCCCAAGAGAAAACACGTTTTTCTAAAATATCTATTTCAGACATATTTATAAATGGCGCTTGTATGATGCTGTGGTCACTATGGCTACTGACAAGGGACCCCAAAATTTAGTGGTATAAAACAACCATGTATTATGCTCATGAGTTCGACGGCTCAGGAGTTTGGACAGGACGCCACAGAGATGGCATGTCTCCACTCCACAGTGTCTGAAGCCTGGAATTGTCTGAAGGGACATTCACTCACACATCCGGCAGTTGGCTATGGGCTGACACTGGTTGTTGGCTGAGGGACTTCGGTGCCTGTCCATGTGGGCCCCTCCCTATGTTCTTCGTATGTGGGCTGGGTTGGGTTCCTTCCAGCACAGTGCCTGGATGCTTAGGGTCAGATCCCGAGAGTGAGAGACTCCGTGCTGAATTCTTTTAGGACCCGGCCCTGGAGGTCACATGGCATCATTTCCACCAGCCTACACTGGTCAGAGCAAACACAAGCCCTCACCAAGATTCACGGGGGCGGGGGGGGCCTAACCCTCCCCTCTCCACGGAGGAGTGTTCATCACACTGTAAGAAGTGCATGTAGGACGGGATTGGCTGCAGCTATCTTTGGGAAATTAAATCTGCCCACATGAAAATCAAAGTATTGTTTCAGTCGGCATGACTCTGAAAAAAAGCAACATTAAGGGAAGACAGACAGGGAAAGTCGAAATAACTCAAATCTGCAAACTTCACCTACGCCCAGTGCACTCGGTTCTGAGAACAGAGAAACATTCAAACCCAAACAACATGGACATTGAAACATTAATGAATACCCACTTAAAAACCAGCACGATCGAGCACCAGCACGATCGAGCACCTGGGTGGCTCAGTCAGTTAAGTGTCTATCTTCGGCTCAGGTCATGATCCCAGGGTTGTGGGATCGAGTCCTGTGGTGGGCTCCCTGCTCAGGGGGGAGTTTGCTTCTCCCTCTGCCCCTCACCCCGCTTGTGTTCACTCTCTCACTTTCTCTTTCTCTCTCAAGTAAATAAATAAAATCTTAAAAACATGTATATTTAGGCGTTGCTTACAACATTAATAAATAAATAAATAAATAAATAAAATAAAATAAAATAAAACCTAGCATGATCACCAGAGAACCTAGCACTCTTCTCTGCCTCTACAAAAGAAAAGTCCTGAAGTTTAGGGGCTCGGACCCAGTTAGTGGTGCAACAAGAGAGGAGAGTGGTGCTGAGAAAGTCCTACGGGAGACAGGCTGTCACTGCCCCAACCGCACACAATCCATATGCCAAGTCACACTCCGTGCTGCCTGGCTGTGTCACCGCCTCTGCTCAATGCACCTAACAGCAGCTCCTCACAGAGCTCTGTTGCTCTTTGGTGCTGCTTAGTTGCCTTTAAAGGACTGAAACAGGTAAAGATTCAGATAAGAAAATAAAACACACGTTGATGAATACCCCTTTAAAACTTAGCACAATTACCGAAAAAAATCAGTTTATCTCAGAAAGCACAGAACACCAACGAGTAGAGGTTTATGTCAGTGGAAAGAGCTCATTAATTTACCCACCCCCAATTTTTTTCTCTATATTCTTCATCCTTTAACAAACAGCTACCACTGAAACACATACACACAAATAAATACACCATAACCAAGAAGTTTATTCCATGAATGCAAAGATGGTTCAATTTATCAGATAAATTGAAAGAAAAAAAAATTAAGTGATTATCTCCGTATCACTAAAAAAAAAAAACAAAAAAAAACCTTTAACAAAATTTAATACCTATTCTTGAGGGTTTTTTTTTTTTAACCACGAAAATAAAAATTGATGTATATTTTTAACATGATAAAACTATATAAATCTCAGCCCTAAAGCCGATATCTGAATGACTGGAGAATCACTAGAGGCTGCCGCACTCAGGTCAGGAACAAGACAAAGATAACCACTACCGCCACTAAATATTAACACTGAATCCAAGCTATCGGCCAATCAGACAAGAAAACAGAGATGTAAGAACAATCAGACTATCTCTGTTTGCACGTGTTGATAACAACAAACCTGGAAAACCCAAAAGGATCAATGATAAAAGCTGACACAACCAATGAAAGAATTTAGTAAAATAGCAGACGATAGAATTGACATAAAATAGCCATCGCAAAAGTTTGACAGTACACTCTGGGAATATGGAAAAACAGGCATTGTTCCATTGTTAGTAGAAATGCAAAAGTATACCACCTGTGTGAGGAAATAAGATAATATCCCAAAAAATTATACACTTATTTACTCTGTGGTCCAACAATCCCATTTTAGGTATCTATCCCAGAGAAGGATTGACAAAAACTGATTTATAAGTACTCAGAATAGGAATTGATGGATAATTTTTTAACATGATACATTACACAAACCAAGGCCAGATATTGTGACAGATACACCGGGCTATCAGTCCCTTCAAAATACAACAACGTGGGCACCTGGGTGGCTCAGTTGGTTAAGCGACTGCCTTCGGCTCAGGTCATGATCCTGGAGTCCCAGGATCGAGTCCCACATCGGGCTCCCTGCTCAGCGGGGAATCTGCTTCTCCCTCTGACCCTCCTCCCTCTCATGCTCTCTGTCTCTCATTCTCTCTCTCTCAAATAAATAAATAAAATCTTAAAAAAAAAAAAAAAATCAAAATACAACAACGTATCTGTAACAACAAAAGACTGGAAAACAACCCAAATGTCCAGCAACATGGGACTGATGAAACCATGATACATCCATAGAATGGAACACTCTGTAGCTCTAAATGAGGAATGAAGAATAGTACCTCTATTACCATATGGAGTGATCTCTAAGATATGTTTTAAGTTGAAAAAAGCAAAGTGGACAAAAGTGTACATGGCACGCGACCATTCATCTAAGAAAAGGGAAAATGGGATAAATGAGTGTGTGTGTGTGTGTGTGTGTGTAGTTTATTACATACATAGGTAACTTTTTAAATGGAAGGACAAACCAAAAGAACTTTGAAAACATGGAATATCTATAGGAGAAAAAGTAAGTAGAGTAAATGAGACAAAGCTAGATACCAGACTTCTATGAATACACCTTCTTTTGTACATTTGACTTTGGAACCATGTAAACGTTTTACTTAATTATAAAACAAGGACTATAGCCATGAGTGTAGTATTATTCCCCATGTGATCCTGTTTTTAAGGCCGCGAACAAATCTGCGTGGGCTCAGGAATCAAGAGAACCGACAAGCCAGTTCTGGCCAGTGAGCCGACTTAGGGAGAGGTGCGCTGGGCCAAGCCGGAGGAAGGGAATGCGCACCAAGGAGAGACTGTAACATGGGGCTTACCTCAACCTTGCTCTCGGGTTCATGATCAGCAGCTGAGAAATACATGACCTCCTGAACTTCATCCCTGGGCCGAGCTGAATTTTTCCCAAACACCACCAGCCCGTCCTTAGCACGCGGTGGGAAGGCCACGAAGCAGTAACTTGGAGGAGGGGCAGCCATCCTGCAAAGAGAGAGAGAATGCCAGGGGCGGCCTGGAAGCAGCTGTGACGTGGGACATTCCAACAGTGAGTTCTTCAAACACACTGCACCAGTGAACATCGTCTTCGTATTGAACTGTGTGCAGCTAGCGCATTAAGAGACACCAGCTGGGGGGCGCCTGGGGGGATCAGTCGTTAAGCGTCTGCCTTCGGCTCAGGTCATGATCCCAGGGTCCTGGGATCGAGCCCCGCATCGGGCTCCCTGCTCCGCGGGAAGCCTGCTTCTCCCTCTCCCACTCCCCCTGCTTGTGTTCCTGCTGTCGCTCTCTCTCTCTCTGTCAAATAAATAAAGTCTTTTAAAAAAAAAAGAGAGAGAGAGATGCCAGCTGGCACGTGAAGCTGGGCGCCCGGAGTAGAGTTACAGAGCCACCGAGACCAGATAGTGTTTAGTACTCCACGGGAGTAAACGAGCTCAGATTTGCCACAAACTGCAGTCAGGGGCAGCCAAAAGCTCAATGACGTAAGAGAAAAGAAAGGAGGTTATTGTTCCCGGCAGAAAACACAAACAGACTGCAATCTGTCACAGTAATAGAAAAATAAATAAATACACTTGCAACAGTGTCCCATGCAAGTGTCTCGGATCTAGAGTTGTGTGGCTTCCACCTAATGGATTTGGGGGTAGTGATAGGGAAATGGGTCTAGAGAGAAAGTGAAAGGATACTCCCCCTATTTTATATATTTTTGCTCTACCTCACTGACATGACGCTCGGGGATCTCTTGGTTTTCCTCCAACCTCCTCAGTGCTCCTGGGCTGGCTCGTTCTCTTCGACCTGGCCACTGAGCTTCCTCACTGCTTTACTCCTCTTTCCTCGTTTCACGCTCCTTTCTCTCTGGGAAAGCTCATCCATGCCCATTGGTCACTCATGTGGCTGTGACCTACACAGTCAATCCCAGCTCAGTTCTCTCCTGGAGCTTTGGACCCATAGATCCAAATGCCTTCCTGATACCCAAAGCTGATTTCATCTTCTCCCCCAAACATCCAGAACTCAAAAACTACCTTTATCATCTGCTTCTCTGTTACCTAGCATACCACCAAATTCCACCTGTTGACTTGATCTTCTAAATCCCTTTGGAAACTCACCACTTCTCCCCATCTCCACTACCACCACTCTGCACCAAGCCGCCATGTCTAGCCTGGATCCCCACGGTAGTCTCTTAAGGGGTTACTGCATAATCACTATTATGCTCCCTCCAAAACACTGGCACACGGCAGCCAAAGCGATCTTTTTAAAAGAAAAATTTGATCATGTTAGTCTTGTCACTCTGCTTAAAATCCTTCAGAGGTTTCCCATGGTTCTTAAAATTAAGACCAAAATCTGATCAAGCTCATGCCTCCTCCCCAACCTCAACTCCTGCCACTTACCATTCCACACTCTCAACTGCAGCACCCAGGCCTTTTTCCAGCCCTTCTGATCCTCACAGGGCCTTTGCACATGCTTCACTCCTCTCTCTGAGCACTCCTCTCTCTGTTCCCTATACCAAAACCATTTTTCCTAGCTAACCCATACTCCCTCATGTACCAGCTCACGTATCAGTCGAATTTACGTCACCATACTGTATGCTCTCATAGAATCCCACCTTTTTCCTTAATAGCAAATCCCAATCTGAAATATTTGTGTGATGATTTTATTACCAACAATCAATACTTGGTCTTTCCCCCCAAAGTCTAAGTTATATGAAGGGGAGAGGACCATGTCTCTTTTGTACGCCACTGTAAACCCAGCTATACACAAGGTCTTCTGCAAGGTAGCTTTTCAAAAAGCAATAAACAAGTGCTCTTTTCTTCTTTCTTAGAACTGAAGCCAACCATGCCTCTGTACCCAGGTAGAATGCCCTGCCCTTAGTCTGTGCATATCCTTCAGGATCTGATTCAAAATCCCTTTCTTTCAGGACACCTTCTATAAAGGAATCTGCCATTTTCTCAGCATCCATATGCACTAAAGCATCCAGTTTGTTCTAGGATGATGTGCATGTGTTTCTTGTAAACGTACTGCTTCGAATGTTTCAAACAAAGACCCCTGAGGGCAGGGCCCAGACCACCCAACTACAGCAGCCCCTTTCCCAACCCCCTATCATGGGCATTCAACAAACATTATCTATTAAACCAACTATCATTTTTGTGTCATCAGTTATCCGACTTAGGTGTGTTTTATTTTACGATTCCAAAATATGAATGAGAAGGAAAGCAACATTCTCAGCAAAGCCACTGGGGTTCAAAACTCACCCTCACCACCTACTACTGTGTGACCTTGAGCAAGTCACTTCACCTCTCTGGGCCTAGGTTTTCTCTTCGGCAAATGTTTGGCCCCAGCCCGTAAGTTTATCATCAGTATCAGATGACATGATGCTTGAGAACAGATTTTGCAAACTGTGGAGGCTACATGAGTATAAGGTATTTTATTTGGGTTTAGACTGTTCAAGCAGAGCAGCATCTCAACATTTCTACAGGGCAGGCAACCAAAACCAAAACATCTCATTCATAACTGGAGCAGTTGTCATTCTGAGTTTGGAACCATTTTTTCGAGGGGCCCTATTGCTATGTCTGCATCCAGGCTGCTTCATGTTAGTCTGTCCCTGCACACACACATTGTGCAGGGCGGGCCCCTCCCAGGGTCCTGAGAAGCGGGGGAGCCCATAACTCTGAAAATCACTCCCCATCTCAGCTCAGAAAAATGTCCCCCCGCCTTTGTGAGAAAGAAAAGGCAGGAAGATCAAGAAACTCCAGTTCCTTCTCCCATTATCCTTTCCTATTTCCACAAAAACGCCATTATCTTCAGACTTGAGGGGTAGGAAGCGATCAACCAAGACTCTGCACGTGTAAGAAAAACCTAGAATAATTATAAGATAAAATGCATTAATAGCGAGTTCCTAGAATTTCAGGGTGGGAAGAATTGCTGGCTGAGCCAGATAAGGTGAAAACCCAGACAATAAGGTGGAGAAAGGGTACATTCACCTGTGTCTGTCTGCCTCCCATGTGTGATAGGACTTCCCTTCCTTCTCCATCATTGGGTCATTTCAAAAGTGCTGGTGTCTCATCTATGAGCAGAACCTTACTTTCCTTGGCCCTTAAAAATAGTAGCAATCCACTGGTCTTGCATTTATGAGATATATCTATAGAAAATAAATAAAACTCGCAGGGTTTTTGACTAGCACCTATTCTATTCTTCAGCCAGGACATCTGCCTGGTTAGCAAGTCATATGAATCACGTGATCATGATCTGGATGTAGGCAATAGAAGCCCAGGGATATGTGGGCCCAGGGAGGCTGGCTTTTCCATTACATCTTGAGAAAGACTGGGAATACCAGAAGGGAGCAGAATTTTTTTTTTTAATTTGGAATTTTAATTATGTACATAAATAGCAACTTGAGAACAAGGAGTTCTAAGGCTAGACATTATCTCTAGGTGAAAGGATTTCTGATTAGTCCACTTGCAGTATGGCATCACCCAAGATAACAAAGAAGCCTAGTATAGTTTGTCCTGAAGAAGAAAGCCAATTTACTATATTCAGTACTGACTTCTCTGCCATTTCTCTGTAGAAATACTGGTTTACTGCATGGAGTTTCCAATGTTTACCTATAAGTGATTAAAATGGGCAGAGCATGGAGCATTCTATTTATTTCCAGGTGAATTCTTCACATTTCCTGGCTTTTGAAAGTTCTCCTTCCACAAATCTTCTATGACTATGTATCCTCGTAAACCCCAGTCATATAATTTCTCCCCACTGACCTGGACAAATACGATGGCTTGTTGTGGATAATAAAGAGAGGCAGCAAGTCCCATGAATCCAGGTGGATACACCAGCTTCTTTATTTTTGAACCTCTAGCCAAAAGAAGTCCAACAATGCCAGCAAAACCAATAACACCAAGTCTTGGAAAAAAACCAGGAGGTGCATTTTGGAGATATTCATAGCTGCCTAACCCCCATTGAACCAAGCTCTGCATCCTGGGCTTAGTTTGTGAGTACATTTCCTGACACCAACTTGTATATGGCTCGCAGTAATGTCGGAGATGTGAAATGCTTTCTTCAAGTGGGGTCCTTGGCTCCTCCACATATTTAGATTGACCCTCAGGGACGGAGTAGAGTGAAAGCTCATTAACTTTCACAGAAGTTTTGTGAGGTGAGTCCTTTTTAGGTGATGCATAGACTCTGAAGGTGAGCAGACTCAGGCTGGCTGGCCCCACAGACCTCTGAATTACCTTGAACATGCTGCTGGCAGAGGTGGCTCTGGCGGGGTGGGAGCAGAATTTTAATGTCTATTTTTTTTTTTTAATGCTAAATGAACTAGCAAACTGTGTAACACATCCAGTAGCAAACTAGCCAAGGATAACTGTCCCTTTATTTTTCCTGGATCACCATTCTAGACACTGACTAGCCTCAGAGATGACTTGGATCCTTTTCTACTCTCTAGATCAGTGCTGTCCCAAAGAACTTTCTACCTTGATGGAAATGTTTGATCTCCACTGACCAATATGGTGGCCATTAGCCTCATGCAGCTATTAAAGTATAGTTAGTATAATTAAGGAACTAAATTTTTATTACAAACTATAACTAGCTTAAATTTAAATAGCCACACATAGGTAGTAGGAATGCTATTGGACAGAGCAGCATTACAACTTCCCAATAAGCCCAGAAATGAAGATTTTCATAGCCTTCCAATGATCCCCAAAGTGTTTCTTCGTGAAGCCCTCCACAGATTCTAATGACAAAATATGCTACCATCTATAAAACTGAATTAGCAAAGAGGAGGTAATACACTTCCAGAAGACTGAAAACAAATGTTAGGAAGTAGCTACTAACTCACCAGGTGGACTGAGTTTAAGTAAGCTCTTTTCTCCAAAAGCTAAAGGTAGTCATAGCCCTGGATGCCAATTCCATTTCTCTTGATGTGAGTCTCATATTCCTAACTCTGAATACACCATGAGCATGTTCCCCATCGCTGCCTGCAAATCTTGGGGGTACCTCTCCAGTCAATTCCACTCTTTACCTCCTGAATGAACTTTGGAGACCTTCACTTCTCGTCAAACCTCCACCTACCTCCTCTAAGTGGACATCTCACCTCCTCCTGCACAAAGAAGAAATGGCCAGGGGAGGGAGACTGTTTCAGAGGTACGATAAGCAGCTTTGAAGGTCCTGTGGCTGGAGGAAGGGCAAGCAGCCAATAAATCAAAAAGCCAATGCAGCTGAGGCCAGAGAGAATGGGGAAGAGGCCGGAGAAGCAGGTAGACAGGCCGGTCCACGTTGAGCCTCGCAGACCACGGCAAGGGCTGTAGCGTCTATCCCGTGATGGACATGGAGGTCTAACCCCACTGAAGGCTTTTAAGTCAAGTGTTAGGTAGGGACTGGAGCCGGTGCACAGAGACAACTTTTCAAAGAAGGTGGCTTTGAGAGAGAAGAAACAGCTCATTAGATGTAAAGGAAGGGGTCAACAAGTAATTGTATTTCTATGTATCTACCCTAAGAAAAGATCAGGAACATGGACAAGTTTCGTGCACAAAAACGTTTATCACAGTGGTATTTATACAGGTGGAAAACTGAAACTTAATCGTCCAGCATCAGAGTCATAGCTTAACAATTCATGCTACAGCAATGCTATAAGACCATTAAAAACGTTTGCAAAGAGTTTTTAATGGCATGGCAAAATGGCTGGGAAGGAAGATCCAAAATGAATTACTTTAATTATGTAAAAATACACATAGAAAAGACTACAAGGAAATGTGCCCAAAATATTAGCCTGACCACTGAATTCTAATTTTTTCATATTTTCCTTTGATTTCCAATTTCCCTACAAGTATTTATACTTACATAAACACAAAAATGATTTTTTAAAATAAACGTAGTGGATAGCACCAATTTGGGAATTTTTTTATTTTTTTTAAAGATTATTTATTTGACACAAAGAGAGACAGATAGAGAGAGAGCACAAGCAGGGGGAGCAGCAGAGGGAGAGAGAGAAGCAGGCTCTCCGCTGGGCAGGGAGCCCGACGCGGGGCTCGATCCCAGGATCTCGACATCATGACCTGAGCCGAAGGCAGACGCTTAACTGACTGAGCCACCCAGGTGCCCCGGGAATTTTATTTTTTTAAAGATTTATTTCTTTATTTGACAGAGAGAGAGAGAGAGAGAGAGAGATAGGGAGGGGCAGAGGGAGAAGGAGAGAGAGAATCCTCAAGCAGACTCCCTGCTAAGAGCGAAGCCCAACGAGGGGCAGGACCCAGGACCCTGAGATCATGACCTGACCTGAAATCAAGAGTCAGACACTCAACCAACTGAGCCAGCCAGGCCCCTGGAATTTTATTTTAAAGAAAACACTTTGGCTCTACTTCTATGTCCTCATACATCTAAAGTTTCAAAACTGGCCAATTCTTATGAGTTATAGTTAGGATGACACTTGCTATTGAGCTCTAACTGACATACATTATATTAGCTTCAGGTGCATAATGATTCAGTATTTGGATACATTGATTCAGTATTTGGTTACACTGCAAAATGATCACAGTATGTCTAGTTAACATCCATCACCACACATAGTTATAGAATGATTTTGCTTGTGATGAGAACTTTTAAGATCTACTCCGTTAGCAAGTTTCAAATATGCAATATAGTACTATTAACTATAGTCACCACGCACTGCCTGACATCCCCCAAGACTTATTTATTTTGTAAGTGGAAGTTTGTGCCTTTTGGCCACCTTCAGTCATTTTGTCCATCCCTCACCCCCCCAAGGATGAAATTTTTTATTCAGCATTATTACAGTTATTCTCTGATACTTTCTTCTACTTTTTTCTACAGCCTGCCTACTTCAGTGTTGCTAAAGGAGTAATTTTCATGACTATTATGCACACAAAGGGCGGGCAGGCCTCTAACTGCGCTATCTCCTCTATTAAGGTGAAAAAAAAAAAAATAGGCCCTTCAGGAAGTCAATTCTCTGCTGACCCCAAGAGGCAATGCTTCTGAAAGTGATTCAGGGAAACTCCATTTTGTTCCTATTATCTGTCAAAATACTAGTTACCATACCAGATAGTTACACTACAAAAGAAAAAAAGAAATCTGACAAGCTGACACATCTATATACTGTATAAAACATGCATTTTGAAATCTTTGTTTACAAGATTTTTATAAATTATTAAATTGTTCATGCAAGACACCAGAATAAGATCTTTTTCCTCCCTTTCCCTCAGTAACCTGATATAGTATTATGATGCGATATCCTCCTCCACAAAGAAAAGTAAGCTAAAATTCAATGAACTCCCAATCGCACATGCTAATATAGAAACGTACTGCATGAAAAAGTGTTCACTGTTTATATTCGGCTTTGGAAAACACAGTATGACCATTTGATAACGGATTTTCTATCATAATACTCTCTACTTAAACCAGCATTAAAATGAGTAGACAGAACTCATTCAGAAATAAAGCTATGATCGATGGCTTTTTAAAAAACTTGCCTGTTTGGGGGCACCTGGGTGGCTCAGTCATTTAAGTGTCTGCCTTCAGCTCAGGTCATGATCCCGGGGTCCTGGGCCCCAGCTCAGTGGGGAGACTGCTTCTCACCCTCCCTCCCATTGCTTGTGCTCTCTCTTGTGCTCTCTGGCTCTCTCTCAAATAAATAAAATCTTAAAAGAAAAAAACCCAAAACAAAACCTTGCTTGTTTTGAGATGCAATTCGTAAGCCATTTTCTGAGTCATGGGGACCTGAGGAGGGGGTGAGGAGCATTACACTCCAGGCCTGAAATGGAACCTAGGTGGATTTAAAACCGTGTTTTCCAAACTGCATGTTGTGGCCCTTTTGAGGGTTACGAAATCATTTCAGTGGATAGGATCAGCGGTTTTTTTTGAATAGGCAAGCATTTTTTTAATAAAAGAATACAGGCATCACACTTAATAAGGGTAAGTGTTGTTACAAGAACCTTTAAGTTCGGGTATATACACATACACATGTAAGTGTGTGCATGAACTGGGTTGAGATACAACATCTCTCTTACTGTGGGTCTCATGCAAAAATCTTTAAAAGCAACAGCTTAAAGGGTAGGTCTACTGAATAAGGCTTCTTTGTGATAAATACCAATTAGGATTCTTGCCAAGTTAGCGATCAACTAATAGTTCCCATTCATGAAACACTCCAATTCAACTCCCATAGATGGTTAAACCGACAGACATTTCCTAAGATGTACTTGCTAAGAATATTTTAAAGTACATTTTTCTGTAACCTGTACTGTATATTTTCTCAAACTGGATTATTTTTCACGTTCTATGCTGCTGGAAGACTGGAGGCTGGGAGAAGGATGTGAGTGGCAATTATTAAAACATCAGGTAGCCAGTACTGTTTCTGTGGTGGAGAAAAGGAGTCAGATTATTCACCAGTTGGAATGGTAAGAAAAATTCCTTCTCCCAGCCCCCGCCTCCAGCCACATCTCTGTATAAGCCGCCCGGCTTCCTTTAGGTGAGCCCTGTCCAGGAGAAATTTCTGCGATGATGGAAATGTTCTTTGTCTGTGCTGCCCAATACAGTGGCCACTAGCCCGATGGGGCTACTGAATACTTCAAATATGGCTAGTGCACATGAGGAGCTGAATTTTTAATTAATTTAAAATTAAAGAGGCAACATTATACTAAGTGAAATAAGCCAACCACACAAAAACAAATACTGTATAATCTCACTTCTTTGAGGCTGCTACAGTAGTCACATTCATAGAGACAGAAAGTAGAAAGGGGGTTGCCAGGGGCCGGGGTGGGGAGGGGGAATGGGCATTGTTGTTTAACGGGGACAGAGTTTCAGCTTGGCAAGCCAAAAAAGTCCTGGAGGTTGGTTGCACAACAATGTGAATATACTTAACAAAACTAAACTGTGTACTTAAAAATTGTCGTTAAGATGATAAATTTATGTTATGTGAATTTCACCACACTTAAAATTTTTTTTTTTAATTAAATAGCCACATATGGCTAGAGGCGGCGGAACCGTAACCCCACAGCTTTAGAGATGGTGCTGTCCTCTGTGGTGACGTCCCCCTACGCTGTTTCTAACCACCACTGTCCTCCTTATCAAGCTGCTTTCAGGAGTCGTGGCTCCTCATGGGAACAAGATGTTCAAGCATCCCCGGGGCTCCCTGCACAGAGGCTGCATCTTCACGCTCTGGCTGGTGACTGCAGGCTGCGTGCAGGCGTGCAGGGCTGGAGCATGGTACCCCTGTAACTAGGAGACCACTTAAAGAATGTCTAGACAAGGAGGGAGGAAGCCGCAAGCGAGAGAAGGTCTTTGTCCTCAAGTCCAGTGAGTTGTTATTGCAGGGCATGAATGCTCTGCGCCTGAGTCAAGCAGGGGTTTTCTTTGCCTGACTGCCAAACCGTCTTGCCCTTTTATCTCCGTGAAGCTCCCGAGGGTCTGTCCCTCATCAGTCACCTTACCCAATAAGAAGAAAGCCTTCAATTGCCTGAGAGGAAGAAAATGACTGTCTCTATAAGCTAGAGGCTTATTAACTGTCTCGCAAGGAACTGTGACAAAGTGCTTTTACTTGCACACAAAAATGAAACCCAAATGTCCAACAAGGCTCCCTTACTCTGCAAGCTCCCAGTTTTACCAAGCGGACTGGGTAAGCTTAAATCCAGGCTGTGTGAATTACCAGCTTCCAGAAAAGCCAGGGAGACATTATTTTATACTATTTATTGATAAATTCATTTAATTATTGACATTCCTGCTGAAGTGAAAACAGGATAAAGGGTAGTCAGTTACGACTTGGTTTTTCTGTCGTAGATCTACTGTTGGGATTGTAAAGAATATATAAGGTGTTTGGGAAAGGAATTATCTAACTAGAAATTGGATGTAAATGCTAACTGAAACCGATGAAAGGGTCCTCAAAGGGTGCCTGGGTGGCTCAGATGGTTAAGCATCTGCCTTCAGCTCAGGTCATGATCCCAGGGTCCTGGGATAGAGTCCCGCATCGGGCTCCTGGCTCAGTGGGGAGCCTGCTTCTCCCTCTCCCTCTGCCTCTCCCCCTGCTCATGCTCTCTCTCTCTCTCTGTATCTCTGTGCGTCAAATGAATAAATAAAATCTTTAAAAAAAAAAAGTTTTTAAAAAAAGGGTCCTCAAGCTCTGCCTCAAAGAAAGAAAGATCCTACTAAGTGTTTTGTTGAAAGCTCAAGGTAGTAGAGCATAAGGCTTTGGGAGCCCACAGCCAGGGAATTCCAGTTTCTAATACTCAATGCCTTGAATGAGGAGCTATTTCACAGAAGAAAGACCACACAGGGTAGTAAGTAAGTAAGCAGGCTTTGGAGTCAACCTAGGTTCGAATCTCAGACCCATCACCTTTCCATGGCAGGATAATGATGAGGCTGTGGTGAGGCGAAAATGAGCTGAAACTTGCAAATATGTACCAAGTACTCAG